GCAAGGCAGTGCTTGTTTAATTATAAAACATATGTATGCTTTGTTAGTTTCCATCTGTCTCTTTTCTGATTTGCCATTAAATGACCAGAAGAAAAAGATGAACCCTGTGGCTCTTCAGGGGAAATGACTCATATCTAATGGATACACTTCATACTCTGCTTTTGTGGATGTGGTGATGTGAGCAGAGGTTGCGTCTTTCTGCTTGGATCCGTAAAACATATTTGAGCCAGACCGAGCCAGACCACTCAAATTGATGGAATTTCAGTTGATCCGGATTGGATCCACTGTGTTTCGGAAAACAAGTACAAAATGGCTACGCACAGGGCAAACTGATTGATATCAGTAAGAAAAGGGGCAATCTAATCATTATATCAAGGTTATCATTAAAAGTTTGTCAGATATTTTCTTAACATTACCAAATCTGCAAATTGGGTAGGGTGCAAACATTCCTATTTGAGAATTTGTCATATTGGGTCTTCATTTACATAGGCAAACTTTTACCTCAATATATCAGACATTCATTCAGTTGCTCGCCACCAACTTGGATAACTTTAAAGGGGAATTAGAAGAACTCATGATAATCATGGCTATTAACCAAGATAGATATATATTACCTCACATATTTGAATACCATTTATTGGAGAACACAAAATGGATGGGTACAAGTGCACTCACATCCAGCTTGTGGACTTTCCGTAGCTATCCATTTGGCAATGGTGTACACAGAATACTGGACTTAGATAGGCCTTTGATTTGCTCCATCATGACTCTCATGAAATTATCTGTAAGTCTTGCATGCATGTATCCAGATCAATTATGATTATTAAACAAACTATTATTTAAGATAAACTTTGTATTTACAATTTTAAAATAATTTTAAAATCTGTTTTTTTTCCACTTAAGAAAGAGACTTGGGAGGGCAGGGGGTAAATGCAAAGATGCTTATCCATGCTGGTTACAGGTTAACTCCTTGGCAATCTTCAAATGGACTGGAGCCCTAAATTCCCAAATATTTCTCATGCAACAAACTACTAAGGTAAACATGGAGCTTCCTACTAGAGAAAAATACTTGAGCAATTTTAAGGGAAGTCAAAAATGTTTCTTAAGAGTGCTCCTGCCTCTGTCCAGTACATTCTGATTCTCAATACTGTTGTGATATGCATGTGTGTGCAACAGAATTCATTTTAAAAACTGTTTTGGCTTGCATAAACAGATACTTTAAATAAATGTGGAAAGGTTTGTACACTTATAATTTAGTCTGAAAGACTCTGGATGTCCATGAAACCTCAAGCGCTCTCGGTTCACCCATATGCAATAAAGACACAGTGTAATTCTAGCTATGAAGATAGATATCATGGTTGCAATCTATCCAATCCCTTTCATCCATCATTGTTTGTTCTTTATCTGTCTTTCTACAAAAGCTGTGGCTGGAGGAAAAAGTCTTTCATATCCTTTGTAATTTTGGACACAGGAAAATATAGGAATATCTACAGTAAAGAAAGGTAGTTGTCTGACATTTAATCTTCATGAAGACTGACATGAAGAGGAGAGCTAACCTTCTGCAGTATTTTTAGTTTGATATTCCATGGCACTTTATTGATCATCACCGGCGTCCGTCACTGCATATAACGATAACTGCTTCAGAGGCAGAAAAGAGGAGATTGAATAAGGCCTTCAAGACTGTCAGCTTCTTACTGATAGATCTGTCAATAGTTACCGCTCCCTCATCCTTTTACCACTCTAAGAACTGTTTGTCTTGGGCATTTCAAATGCTCTTGCATATTGACGTGAGAGTTTAAAGTCAATGGAAAGAGCTCTCCTTAGTGAATTGCTATGATATTCCCCTGTAAGAAGCAGAATGATTGTCTTCTGTTTTCTCAAAACAAGGTTCTAGCAACAGAGAATGATGAGGCTGTCTGGAAACTAGTCCATTTTCAACAGCTTAGCTACTTGGTCTATGGAATACTTCTCCCTCAATGACATAAATTAACACACTATTAAAAATATCCAAAGTTTGTTATTAGATACCAGAGTAGGAGAATTGTTATTAAACTTCAGTGGTTTTGTGGTTCCATGGAATTGCATCTGTGCTGCAACTTCACTTTCCAGAGTAGCAATCCTGCACATAGTTGTGTTCTCAAAATTCTCAGAGCAACCGAAGGGACTATGGAGCACAGAAATGAATCTGGTTTGCAGCCATAACAGGTGGCAGTAATTGTGAAGGGAAACAGATGTCCACCCATTTGTATATTCATCACCCTTAGTGTCTGCCTATACTTTCCCCTGCTGAAGTTAGACTAGCCAATGGGTTAAAATGACGAGTTTTCTCAAAAACTGGAAGAGAAAACTCAGGAATAAACATCATTCCAGCTGAAGTATGAATGCATCATTGCTTTCAGTGAATCAGTTTGACTCCCAAAAGGAAGCTTTCCCTCAGGCGTTCCCAGCTGAATGTATGGTACGGTCCTAGCCTACATGTGAAGAGTGGTGGCTTGAAGAATCAACAGGACTGGCCGTTTTCTGTTGGACTTCCACCATATAGTTGGACACCATTCATTGCAAACAGTGAATTAATTCCAAAGAAAAACCTTCTCAGCTTCCCCAACAAGCATTCACAAAGTGCTTCTCTCCCCAGTTTCCACAGTTCTACTTCTGCTTTTTCTGGGATCTGCCCGTGTGCTCGAGCCCTGAAGGAATGTGAGTTTGGTGGGGACACTTAGTCATCACCAAAAAAGAATAGTTGCATTGAAACAGTATGAGCACAAAAGAGGGTGCAGACTTGCATAACATTTATATATGCTCATTTATATGTAGAGATGCAAATTTAGAAACTGTTATAAGTTAAACACAAATGGAGTACATTTGGCCATAGGGAGGACAAATTTGACTTGTGATCTATATGATCCTGGTAGGTAGAGCAAGAATGGACCACTGCGGGATATGTTTTGGGGATAGTTTTTCCCTTTGAATACTTCCCACCCTATGGGACATCCTGGGAGGAGAAGTTAAAAAAAAAAAGAACCACCAGTTGGCTGCCAAATTTTGGTAACTAATTGTTCAGTAAAGTCTGGGATTAATAAAAGGACAAATTTAGCTTCCAAATGAGCAACATTTGCCAATTTTAGCCCTCCATAGCCCTCCAAAGGCACTACTTGGCTATAAGCATTCCCCCTCCCCTAATTGTGGTCAGTAACAAGGAGTACATGTTGCTCATTCTTTGAATAACGGCTACCTCCAAATAAATGGCTGCTATCTGATCACCCTTCAAACAAAGGGCTGACTTCTCTAAAGTAGGACATTTAGGGTTGCTGTGAACTGCCTTAGAATTAATGGTCCGACTGTACTGACAAATGCTCAGATGCTTATTAGGGGTTCAATGAAGAAGCTCTACCAAAAGCACAGGCAGACATTGCAGGATTGCAACCTGCAGTGTAATTGTTGTGTGACTGTGTGTGAATATGTGCAGTGATTGGACCTGTATGAGGATAAAGAAGACCAATGCGTTCCTACTCTGATCCAGAGCTATTGCAGCTACTGTGAGATTTATAGATAGGCCAATAGTGCAGGGCAAGAGAAGATTAAGAAGTTTGTTTTCTTATTGTGTGTGAGTGTTTAAATCAGTCTTAGTCTGCATATATTCAAGGTCTGCAAAAGCAAAAAACATTTTTAAAAAAGTTTCAAGTATCATTTAGCTAAGTAGCAGAAAAGACTTCTGCTAAAAGACTACTGAACAAAATATAATAAAACAATATTTGCAGAAATAATTTGGGGTTTACCACAATCTGTCTTTTCTGAGCAGGCTAATATAGTCCTTTCAAACCTCCGGTGCTGTATTTTGGAAGCCTATCTGGCTTTCTGTCAGATTAATATTGATTTCTTTTTATGAACATTGATGCTTGTTGGGACTTGGATGCAAAATGTGGGCCAACTTTGCAAATCAGTATGTAGGTACTGTATAAAATGGCTGCTGGCCATAATGGCTGTACATCAGTTCCCACTTCCCGCTCAGTGCCAGTTCCAGGGAAACTGAAGCAGGAGGATATCAATGTATCCCCATCCTGCCTGCTTACTTCCTATTGGTTGACCACTGTGCAAACTGGAAAGTACACTAGACTGGTCTGACCTAACAAGGTTCTTGCATTCCTAATGCCATCTAAATTCTGGCTTAAGTTTAAATGATGTTTTTAATTCCTGAAATGGAAGAAGGTAATTATTATTCATCTGGTAACAAGCTTGCATTCATCCAAGCTTTTCACAAAAAACAGCTTTTATCTATAAATAAGTCAGCTTCTCCACACTGTGAAAAAAAAAAACCTAATACACTCTTACAAATCCTTTGTTATGTATATTTGAATTCTGTGATTAAAATACTGAGAAATCAATGTTGCCATGCCAGAAAGAGGAATACATCGAATATATCCAGATGTACCCATCAAGGTGAACCAACATGAGTCCAAGTAAATAAGAAATCTCATTGTTTCCAGTATTATAGCAGCTAATTTATAAACCTGGAAAAATTTAATCCATCTGCTTGAATGGGAAGTCGCAATGTTGCATATGGTGTTGATGATCTAGCATCATGATCTCAGAAAAGCATTCCCAAAGTATGCCAAACCTTATAAAATATTTTTATCATTACCTTGCATTTATATCCCACCCTTTTTTCCTCTTGAAAGGAACTCAAGCTTGTTTACATGGTTCTCCTCACTACCCTTCTTACCCTGATAAAAACCCAGTCTGGTAATCTAGGCTGAGAATAACTAGCCCAAAGTCAACCAGTAGCCACATTGGTCAAGCGGGGAGTAGAGCCCAGGTTCCCTGTCCAACACCCTAACCACCACACCACAGTGCCTCTCATTTATCTTCTAAGAACGTGCTAAGCATGTGTTTTTACAGTATTTATTCTCTGGTAAAGGATACTTTAAACGCTAGCATTCTGAATAAATCCAGTTACAATGGAAACAGTTTGGTGATGCATTCCTTCTATTTCTTTCTTGCAGATGATGATTTTTTTCATGAGCTCCCAGAAACCTTCCCTTCCGATCCGCCAGAGCCCCTTCCACACTTCCTCATTGAGCCTGAAGAAGCCTACATCGTAAAGAACAAGCCTGTGAACCTTTTCTGTAAAGCTAGCCCTGCTACCCAGATATATTTTAAATGCAACAGTGAATGGGTTCACCAGAAAGACCATGTGGTAGATGAAAGAGTTGATGAGACATCTGGTGAGTTGTTACTGTGTGGTGGTAATGAACTAATAGCTCTGTTGAATAGATTATTTAAAAATCATTTTATTGGGGCATCTCAGATTGCACTACTGCTAAATGAAAAACGAAAGATATTATTTCTGCTGGGATAATTCATCCAAACATTTTAATGTGACAGGGGCAATGGAAGAAGGCGTTTGTTTTTCCGCATAGGATTTGCAGTCAATACGTTCTTCAAATGCTTCAGTGCCTATCCATATAGTTACCGTGTTCTAGCTCAATCGCCTTATATTTTAATTGTTTTGAATGCAATGTTACATGATTTGGATACCAGCGGAGAGCAACCTCATTGTTCCTTTCCAAATAGAAATTGGTCCCACATTCATCAGTTGTTTCTTGCACTTCCCTTCCAGACATTACCATGCTAAATATGGCCAGTGGAACCAAATCTGTGTGGAAAAGTATATGCAGCATTCTGGTTTTAATAGCAGTGTTCATGAAAAATAAGCGTTAGTGTTATGAAAAGTAGACTAAAGAGCTGCAGATTGGAGTCTCCAGAGTTTCACTTGATCTTAAATTGCTAATGAAGACAATCAGCAGGCAAGTCCTTGAAATCTGTGAGACTCGGTTGATGTCATGATGTACAGGAAATATTGGCATTGAAGAAAAACTGAGGAGCAACAAAGATCAGATCCAGAATGCAGACCATTTCAGGACCTAATTTTTGTTGTCTGTGGGACTAAATTATGCGCAGATGTGCAGGCATCACACACAAAACAGATACAGCATCCTATTATGTAAAACACGGGTTTTTATCAGCCTGCATACATGGAGCACTGGGTTGTGATTGTGGAAGGAGCCCACCCTTCCATGGGCCCAATCTGTGTGCATTTTGATTCCAATCACACAATCCATGCATGTAATTGTTCTGTTATACAAATCATCAAATTAGTGAAGTCACTGCACAAGTACTGCTGACACATGTTTTGGTCAGGGCAGAGACCAGCACAAAGAAGAGCCATGCTGGATCAGGCCCAGGGTTCACTGAGTCCAGCATTCTGTTCACACAGTGGCCACCAGCACCTGCAGAAAACCACAGGTAGGACATGAGTACAATCTAGGACCCTTCTGCTCATATCACCAAGAATCTGGTGTATATCAACCTAACATCTCTCCTACTGGAGGTAGCATCTATGCATCATGATGAGCAGCCATTGATAGCTTAAAGCTCCACAAATGTATCAAGTTGTTAAGTCCTTTTAAAATCCATTCAAATCATAATCTATGCACACACAAAGTGCTATAAAGGTTTGGCTCAAGTGTACATTTCGTGATGGAAGACAGACATGATGCATGTGCACTGATGGTGAAAATTTATGCATATTATAATTAGTGCTATGCCGAAAATGTCTTCCTCATTGGTGTTGACAATCGTTACTCCGTTCAATAGAACAGGAATTGACTTTTGAAAAGAAATTCAATGGAGAAGAAATTTTGGATGAATTTCCATGGGTTCTTGTGACTGGCTGAGGAGACTCCATGTCTTCACCTGCATTAGGAAGAAGACATAGCTACCACCTGTTCTCAGCAATTTAACTTTTGGCATAAACTGGAAAAGGTGTGACCCTTAAAGCATAACTACTTGAGCCCGAGCCAGAATTTCTCAGAAGACTTTTTTTGTCAGAAGAGTTCTGAAGTTTTTCTTTTCTTAAACCACTAGAAATAAAAGGCCACGTTTCAGAATTTCCACAACCTTGTTATCCATTTTTGATCAGATTTGCCTCCTCTCCTCTCTCTTCACACAACCCATGAATGTCTGAGAACAATGCTAAGTATGGGGTATTGTGGACAATGCAAAATGAGGACCAAGGTGCCAACACAAGATGCTGCTGCTACATTAAAAAATTTGAAGAAAAAAAGGAAGGAGCTGCACTACAACCCTTGGTGAGCCCTAACTGTGAAAAAGTTGATTAAATTGTCCCTCCACCACTCACCCAGTTTCTTTCCACAAACAGAGTGGACAATTTCAAGAAGTCATTTGCACACAACTTCTTTTCATAACAACCACACAGAATTCTGGGCTCTTATTGACTTCATTGGTGTCATTTAATATTATGGTAAAATATAACAAGATGATTAGAAAATAACCCATGAGCCATAAACATATTTGGGTCAATGATGGGATTCTTCTTTTTTTGAAAGATTAGTATTCAGTACACTGAGTCACTTACAAGCTAGAAAAGTGTGGCTTAGTTCTGTCTAACTGACAAAATATCCCTACCTACCAAGCAAGGAGGTATGTTCCACATGGGGACTGCAATACCGCTTGGTCTAATTACTCAGGAAAAAATAAAGCCACCCGTACTACTGCTTTGGGAGTCTCTTCTGATTAGGTTTTATTTGTTTCAGCTCATTTGTTTGTACGGAATCCAAAAGCATGCACTTTTAACACTGCAGAAGTATGTACCATTTGTGAATAAGGAAGTGGTGAGGGGGCACTTTTACAGTTGAATTTGGATCACTTCTGAAGTTGAATTGGTGGAAGAATTTAATACTTCTGTTAGGCTGAGCAGGTTCATAAGAAGTAATTTGAATAGCTGCAATATAACATCATCTTAGTTATTCAAATGAGAGCAAGTAGTGGGGCGAGGATACAAGCTATCTTTTATTGGCTTTAGATGCCAGGTCAAAGTGACCTGTTTTTTTTGAGTGCTTGTTTTTATTTGTTGACTTAATTTCCACTAATCAGCCCAACAACCCTCTAAGCAGATCACAACAGATAAAACATATACTAACAATAAAAGCAACATTTAAAATACAATGAATAAAAGACAGTACACAGCTGAGGGCAATAATTAAAACTTTACAGATTAACCAACAAACAAGTTAAAATTATCACAATAAAATCAATTATTAAAATGCCTAGAGAATAAAACTGTTTTTACCTGTCAATGAAAAGATTGTAGCAAGGGTGCCAGTCGAACTGCTTTTGGGAGGCTGCTCCATAGGTGGGGCACAACTTTAGAAGGCTGTGGGGCAATTAATTTTCTCTTGCTTCTACTCTTGCATAAATCATAATTCTGTTAGACCACAATCCTATGGCTGCCAGGCAGAGGTTGCTTTCACCCAGAATACATAGAAACAGAGCAAGTCAGAAGGGGTCTCCCGGGCCATCTAGTCTGACCTCCGGCACCAGCCGGCTCCGCTCATGACATGCCCACCATGTGGATGTCCAGCCTATCCTTGAATACTAAACCATATCAGTTCATTTCCATGTCATGTGGTTTCTTACCTGGATAAAGCAGCCATATGATAGCATGGTTTCCACTGCCCTGCCTTAATCTTCCCAGTGGTAGCACATATCCCAGCTGCTGAAATTCAATCCCACAGTGCACCATTCCTGCCTGAGTTGCCTGCCTCTTCCTCATTGGTCTGCGTATAGAGGCTGAATAACTAGAGTGGCTCCTGCAATTGCCACTCTTTCCACTGGATTCTGTGGTAGCACATGGAAACCTCATTTCTAGTATCAGACCATTGAGTAAGCCATGGTGAAGCATGGAAACCATACAACAGACTGTCATTTTTCTCTGTGGTTCTATGGAAACCAATCATACCACTCAATAACTCCGCTACAGGATTCAGATAACACAATCAGCCATCTCCAGTGGAAACTACCGTCAGAGTCTGGGTGGCTACAGGATAATTAGGGGTCCTATCTCCAACCACAAAAGCTTTCTCCAGTGACAGAGCTGCGACTTTGAATTTGGACTCTTCTTCCTCTGCTTTGTATCTGGCGCAGAAAGAACTAAACTAGACGTGTCTTTGAGGTCCCACAGGGATCCCTGTGATGGGCTTCAGAACTTTCTTTCTTCTATTACATAACATTCAGCTCTGGGAAGCCACTTTTCCAGGACTGGGAGGGGAAGTGCCAGGGTAACATGGGTACTTCCTGGAGGTAACAGATTTCTCCCATAATCCACAGATACTTCTGACTGAGACAGAGAATGAAGTTTTCTTGTGAACAACCATTGTCATTAGAGAGGATAAATTGCAAAGTAATGAGCAGAGAATTAATTGTCTGTCTTCGGCAAAATAACGAACTTGATCGACACACCTAACTGAATACTATATGGATATTTGCATTCATCTATTGAACTGGACTCGAGTCCAAAAAAGCTTTCCCTGTGATTTATTTGTTTTTAAGCCCCTTTTTGTTTCTACATGGATAAACCTCCCAGTGAGAATTCTTGCATCAAAGCTGGAACTGATGCTGAGTTATGGAAATGAGTTGTACTGTTACATAGTACAGTGTACCCAGTTTGAAGTTGGACCCCATCATCTGTTCACCTCCTCCTTGCATTCTCATCTCAATGGAAATTCTTGACATTTCAGGTAAAAGTGCTACATAAGCAAGAAATAACATCTCATGCTCATTCCAAAAATTTTAAAGCACAGTTTTTAGTCCCAAGGACATAATCAGTACCTCCCCCATCTGCTTAAATGAGTTATATGGATTATTAAAGTATTCAGGCAAAAATATCACTAAATGTGAGCTCACAGTCTTTCCTTTAAATGTACTTTTTATTTTATTTTCCTTATTTCTGCACAGTAGCATTCAAATAGCAATATTAATGATTCCAGTTATTAATAAATGTAAAAATCCCTCTACTCTATCTAAATCCAAGTAGTTTCCCCCATGTAATATAACTCAACAGAATAGCATTGTGCATTGCAGTCTTTTTGGTTGTGGCACTTTAGAAAGCCAGGCGATAAATTAAGATTATGCAGCATTTAAGGGTGCTTGTGGATGCTGTTTATTTTTCTCAATGATGCTTAAATTCTTAATAAACAGGGCTTGTATGCAGCCATCTAGCCTTGGATTAGTTGTTCAATAGTGAAGGAAGATAAAGTCCACATTTCTTCTTCCTTTTGGTATAGCTGCCCCAACATTCCAGTAACAAGGAGCAAAGCTCCTCTTAAGATGTTTCTGAAATGCCATCTTAAAACCAGATTTTCTT